GTTGAAAGAATAGCAAAGTGGTTTATGATCAGTCATAATGGTGAAATCACGTCCCTGAAGCAGGAAGTTGAAGTGTTTTACAGCTAAGTACATAGCCAGACGTTCGCGTCCGAAGGTGCTATAGCGCTCTTGAGTTGGTGATAATCGTTTGGAAAAGAAAGCTATAGGAGTAATCTTGTCGTTAACGCATTGCTGTAATACTGCTCCTACTGCTTTTTGGGAGGCGTCAGTGCAGAGGATGAGGTTTGTTATGGGATCGGTGTTTAGGTGCTGTAGCATGGTAGCATTAGATATCATCAACTTTGCTTTCTCGAATGCTGTTTTGGCGTCAGGGGGTAGGTTGAATGTCTGACTCTTCTCTTTCTTCGTACCTTTTTTGTCGGTTTTCAACAGATCGGTTAATGGCTGTAATACTTCAGCACAACGTGGTAAGAAGCAGCGATAAAAATTACACATACCGAGAAAACGTCGTAATGACTTCACCGAGGTTGGTTCGGAATAATTGGTAATAGCTTCAACCTTTTCTGGGAGTGGTTTGATGCCTTGAGAGTCAATGTAATGTCCTAAAAACTCTAAGGCTGGGACGGCGAATATACATTTAGAAGGATTGATAACCACGCCATGTTTCTTAAAACGTTCAAAGAAAATCTGAACATGCTGGGCGTGTTCTTCTATTGATGAGCTTGCGATCAAAACGTCGTCTATGTAGGCGAATACGAAGTCTAAACCTCTTGTGACATCATCCATGAATCGTTGGAATGTCTGGGCGGCATTTTTCAATCCGAATGGCATTCTTAGAAACTCAAACAGGCCAAAGGGTGTGATGATAGCTGTTTTCTCGATATCTTCTGGTGCCATCGGAATTTGGTGATATGCTCGCACCAGGTCGAGCTTCGAAAAAATGCATTTACCGTGTTGGTTTAATGAAAAATCATGTATATGCGGAATTGGGTACTTGTCGGGAATGGTTTTATTGTTTAATCGTCGATAGTCACCACACGGACGCCAATCTTGGTCCTTCTTTGGTACCATGTGTAACGGCGAGGCCCATGGGCTGTTGGATGGTCTGATAATACCAAGTTGCATCATATGTTCGAATTCTCTTTTAGCTACTTGCAACTTGCTTGGCGGTAGTCTCCTCGCCTTGGCGCTAATAGGTGGTCCGGTGGTAGTGATATGGTGTTGCACCAGCTGTGGGCTACCTTCCTTTTGGTAATCTGATTTCGTAATGCACTGGTATTCTGTTAGAATGTCGTTGAAGATGTTGTTCACAGGTTTCATTATTCGAACACCATGGATCTCGTTGTCGTTGTAGAGTGTACCATTTACCTGTAAACGTGTGTTTACGTCGATTATTCTCTTGTTGGTCATATCAACTAACAGGTTGTACGCACTAAGAAAATCGGCCCCGAGGATGGGTCGTTTGACTTGAGCAACTATGAATACCCATGTGAATCTTCTGCGGAGCCCGAGATCTAATATAAGAGATTGTTCTCCGTAAGTTTTGATAACTGATTCGTTAGCCGCTACCAAGGACAATTTAGTGCTTGTCGTATGTTGTCTGCGTGAGAGATGGAGTGGGATGATGCTGATTTATGCTCTCGTATCGACTAAAAAGTCTGAGCCAGAAATACGGTCCCTGATGTGGAAGAGGCGGCTGACATGTTGGCCAGTAACAGCTGCCGCTATTACTGTCTGGCCACTTCGTTTCCCTGATGGTCTGACTTGCTTGTCGTGAAGTTGCACGGTTTTGTGCAACGACATGCTTTCTCACCATAATTCGAATGATACCAACAAATTCCGGCTGCCCGCTTAGGTGACCTAAGACGATGTCTGGATAATGATCTCCTTCTGGACGAAGATCTGGGGCGTCGAGAATGGATGGTGGAAATAGTCGCCTGCAGTGATGCTAGCTGCCGTGTTAAGTGTGCCATTTGTTGCTGAATGTCAAGAGTAGGGTTCATAGCGTCTCTACTAGCGGGTTGTACCGCGTAAATTCCCCAACTATCGGGATATATTTCTATCATCTTATCGGCCATGTCTGCTAAATCATCAAGACTGACAGAGGCTCCTGATACGCTGAGAATTTGTCTGACGCTATAAGGTAACCTTTGTGACCACATCTGCTTAAGTAATGCTTTGTTTAACTTGTATGAATCTGCTAGTTGTCTCATGTGTCTAAGCAACTGTGAAGGTCTTTTGTCCCCTAACTCGCATGCGGTGAGTAGTTGCTGTAAGCGTTTTTCATCAGACTGCGAAGTACGGTGGATTACTGCGGCTTTTATTTTGTCATAGGGGTCCGTTTCTGGTACGTTATCTATCAGGTCTCCGACTTCTGCTGCCACTTCTATGGGTAATGCTCCAACGACGTATGCATATTTTGTCGCTTGCGAGCGTATATCTCTCGACAAAAATAATGCCTCAACCTGTGCAAACCAGATCCTGGGATTATTAACACCGTACGTTGGTAATCTTAGTTCCGAAATAGCGTTGATTGAGTTTAAAACATTATCCTCTGGTTGTGGAGAGTTTAGAGGGTTGGTCGGTGAACTATCAATATCAATAAGTTTACCCGGAGAGTTCATAATGACAAAAATAAAGATGATGTCGTGCCAGGTAATAATAATAAATAAAAAAATATGTAGATATATAAGGTAAATGTCTATAAAAAAAAAATCGAGGCTCACCAAATAATTGTGGTGGACCAAACAATATATAAACGCAAAAGTATCAACAAAGTTAATAACAATCAATAGTAATATTAATATTTACAAGTTAAATGTTACAAATACGATAACAAATTAGGGACGTTACTTAAATCGGCTAGTCGTTGCGTGTTCTGTTGAGTTTTGGTCTCAAAAATCCACAATTATAAATGCGTAATAATTCCACAGAGGTAAATATGACGCCAATAAGTTTCTTTGACGTAGGATATAATGGGAATGACACTGCAGTCTGAAATGAGGATAATATCCAGTTTAGAACGCAATTGACTTGGTAACGAGCGACAATAGAACAATGGGTATGTGCGTAGTAGTGTATTTGTGAACAACCGAAAATGTGTGTCACGCTATGTTAGAATTACAACGGAAAAAGTGTTCAAGGTCGTTGACTAAAACAACACGTACAGTCATTTAATGATAAATGTATATACAGTGAAAAATTGACAAAACAAATAGAAATAACATTGAAAACTATTTACAAAATAAGGTTGTCAGGTCTATCTCCACAAACGTAAGTCTCAAAATCTCATCATCCTTCCTGAAAAGGCATAGCAATAACAAGTGTAAATTATCTAACAGCACTCAATTTGAATACTTTAAGTTGAAAGATAATTTGTCTGATCAAAATATGATGTCGCACTGCTTGTCGTAATGAGATATTGCTTCGCAACTTACGTTCGATTAACCCTCCCCGTTAGACATCTTGTAGTGTTAGTCATTAGTTTTAGCCCAAAATATATCTTATTCTAGTTTCCGGACATTCCATTCTATTCAGTCTACTTGAGTCATGTTTTGACCTTGTTAATTATTCACTTATTAGCCTTGACTGTTTCCATATGAGCGTATACGTGTGTACACTTCATCTCTCATGACTCATCACATGGCTGTAATTTATTTTGTCTGCCTATAAATATTGAGTAATGCCCGGCTTGAAATGGAGTTGGCTTCCCAGCCATCTTCCCTGCGCGTCATTTTGCTCTGTTCTATTACATTCACTTTACATACAAAATATGTGTATTCAAAATCCCATTCTCGTTATTTGACTTATCTAAATTCCGTTATTGACTAACGTGATTTAAGTCGACGATGATATACGAGAATTGGCGATAACAAACATCCATACAATCTAAACAGGAGTCAAATCCACGGGCCACAAAAATCTCCATTGTTCAGAGTTGGCATTCCTACAATCTATGACTCTTACATGTTAGCGTAAGCTTGATAGTTCTCACTAACCTTTCCAGTTGTTGGCAGTTGTTTTTCGGAGTGTTAATGTTTGCCTCCAATCGCCACACCAAGTGCTTTTTGGTGTGTCCGTTTCCTTTTTAACTTTCCGAATTCTAAGTAAGGGCTTGGTCTGTGTAGCATTGCTTCTTTTAAAAACATGGGATTACCGACAATAGAACAAAACCTACTTTTTAATCCTTGAGCGGGAACTCCAGTAACTTTAGAGGGTTGCAGGCAGTATATCAAATCCCGGTGGTGTAATTATTTTGAGTGTTTTCAGAAAAATCTCTGTCCGTTTCAAGATATCATAGTTACCAAGTGGAAAACGCCATGATTTTCTGAATCGACCCTCTGAACGCTCAGCCCTTTCCACAATTACTGTATCAGCTAACGTTCTGTTCTGTTATCTCTGAAACAAGCTGACTTTGCAAATGAGAAACTTATATTCACGAACATTGAGAGCCTATTTACATTCATTCTACTATTCATAAATACCGTTCGCTTCAACCCTTCGTGCATGTTGAGCAGAAACTTTCCACTCGTTCTTGCACAGGTGCTCCATTAGGTGTAAATTAAATTTTTCAATAATATGAATATCCTATATGAAATTACAATAATGCCCGTGAAATGGTTCAATGTACTGAGTTCTCGAATATTACTTGTCGCCCTGACACCGTTTTTTCGCTGCATATTATAAGTTTTTTCTAACTGCTTCATAACACTGATAAATTGACCTGAAATAATCGTTCTATTATGCAACGTAGTGATTGATGAGTGCATCACAACTAAATAAGGATTCTCTGACACTAAACCGCACAACACGCCGATTACAGGGCCTGGATTTACTCATCATAGTTGCCAGGTAATGCCGTTTCCTTGTTCACACTAAGTAATAAACAGAATTTCATTCAGTAAACGTTTCATTTAGTTACGATCTGAATAAAAGTACAAGATGCTAGATAATTTTTATCAAAGTTTACATTTTACCTATTTGAAAGGTATAAATAATGTTACGTTAGCATGTGTTTGTTTTAGTGTGCCATTTTGGGCGTCCTCTATTATGCTACACTTCAAAGTTCGTTGATCCGGAAACTGGTAAGTTACTAAATTAATAAGTACATGTTTCTTTATTCGAATGAGCTTTTGTATAGCCTATCTATAAACGTAATAATGATTCATTGCTTTGACGCAATGTTCTCACTAAGTTAGCAAATAATTTTCCTGGACGTTTCATATTTGTTATGTAAAAAGTTTTCTGTTTTTTAAACCAATTTGTAAGTCTTTTATTTAGTACTCTGCTGCAGTTTTACATTTACCTGCTTATTGGTACGAACGTGTAGGGTCACGCGTACAGCAGGTTTTATTCTAGCATCTCAAATTAACAAGTTTATGTCATACGTTTATATATATAGCGTCAAGTGACGTTTTGTTCGTTAGTTTTTAATATAATGTGATATATAATTTTTGTTTCGGGATGTTTTTTTGTCGACTTTTTTAAGGCTGCTCGTGTAACGTTTTCTCATCCTTCATTGTAGGAAAAAACTTCAATAAGAAACTGATTTTTATGATTATCTTTACCTACGCGACAAGTTTACGGATTTATTTATATATTCACCTAACCAGTTTATTTAACTGTCATAAACCCTTGAAATGTAATAGGTCTACAATCATTGGGCTCTAATGAAAGGAATTTTACGTAAACTTTTAGGCTAGCTATATGAATAAGTACCATGACTGTCTTATTGAAAGAGAATATTTACCGTCACTGCTCCTTTACTTACTATATAACTTATCTTGGCAGTAGTTAAACTGAAACATACATAAGCATAGGCATTATTTCAAGGGAGATCGATTGCCTCTCCCTAGTATTTGCTGCTGAATCATTTGTCTTCGACCTAATAGATAGGCCGCCGATTTTATTATACACAGTGCAGACAGTTTTTCAGCTAAACATCTCCTTTGTAAGATATCGTACTCATACCCTTTGCTTACACCTACGTACTTGAACTGCATAGGTCGGAGGACTTCTGGAGTTCTTGCATATAAGCATGCACATCGAGTATCCCGGTACGGTTAAGTGAACCTCGGATTCGGAACCCAGGATAATCGAAGATACAACGTAGTGTGTGACTAGTCCGATCTCTATTGACCGCCTCAGTTAGTTGTCAAGGTCGCTTTGACTATTCAGCAGCGCTACGAGGAGGTTCAAGATCTGAGTTTTCTGTCAAAGTAAAAATATATTTATTGAAATTACTTCTAACTATATAAGTGAATAGTTGTACAGCTTTAATATAATATATACACATATTGACATTTAATAAGTAAAAGTTAATCACGTTTGCTTTCATTTTGAACACTATTGGAATAAAACTACTGGGTTTGTAAGTTCGATTAAAATCGAATGTCTCAACAGCGACCACGTTCCTCTTAAACAGAGTCTTCAAAAATGTATTTCCAAGCTACAGTGATGTCCCACAGGAGTGACTTATCAGACGTATCGGAAGTCTTTAAGACAAGGTATTGTTGTTTTATCTTTAGGATTACTGTAACAGCTATATCAAAGGTTGCAGTGTCATTGTTGGTGATATATACTAACTACTACTCCATGTGATAGTATTAAATGATGAAGCGAAAAGATTCACTACAAATAATATGCCCTCATTCACTTCGATCAGAACTTTTTAGACAGTAAAAAGAAGAAAACATCCCTGTATTTTTAGCTTATAGCTGTGCGTAAAGCAAGGAGGATTTGTCAGTGATATTGAGTCTTCCGAGCTATTTGATACCCTATAGTCATAATGTTTTGTACCATAACAATGAAATGTTTTTATTTATTATAATTGACACAACAACCTGATGTATCCTCTTCAAATAACATTAGTATTCTTGTACGTTATGAGCAATAGCTTCGTGCATAAATAAAAGATAATGACAGAAGACTTCTAATCCAGGTGATTCAACGTTACGTTCTGGTAGAAATCACGATTTCGTTTGATCACCAGTATGTATGCTTATGTTCCAATAGCTGACAAATAAGTAATCAAGTATTTTATTGATATGTCCACAATCAGGTAGATCTGAATGCGAAATAGTTCTAAAAATATGTCTTTCTTGGAAGCTAGTTAGAAAAAAGAGATTATGTTGAACATATGATATCATGAAGTGATAACAGGTTTATTTTTTTCGGTTTGTACGAAATTTATGCTAGTTATATTGGCTGAGTCCAAATTGCGGAATAATAAAAGCTCTAGACTCAGAAGGTTGAAGCTTTGAAGACGTTTTCTGTTTTTTGTTGCATTATTTAAATAACTTGACAGCTAATGGCATCTTCATGTGATCTTAAAATATTGAAAATACCTACTGCATAAATCAGAACAATACATACTATCGAACAGTAGTTTTTGTATTTGGATCTTCATCAGGCCTTATTCCAATGTATGAATGTATCAAAAATATTAAACAAACCAAAACAGTTTGAGTTAATTAATTATTAGTTATTGTTAATTAATTAATTACTGATCATTATTACTATTAGCCTTATTCAATATTACATTTTTGGTACAATATAGAATTCTCAACACAATGTATTTCAACAAGTTTCTGTTCCTTAGTTCTTCATTGATCCTGACGATAATTATTGAGTGATCGTCAGTTAAGAGTTAGCAGTCCAGTCAATTGACATCTCAATAATGTACATTCTTTTCAATGCATATTGCCAACAACCATGATATCTGTGATTGGGTTCTGTTGTAACTTGTACAACGAAAGGTTGTATACTTTTCACAAACTCACCTAAATAGGTTATGTGATTAATAGTCATCATGATGTATTAAAACGAACAACATTAGATAACTTGTTGGAATATCTAGATGATAGGATCAAGTAGTTCACATGTTCAAGTAGGCTACCAAGTTGCATCAATCATGCAATTTTCACTTTTATTTTGATCATATCACTTTTCTCAAATCCATAATTTGTTTTTAACTGACTGATATTAACTCTTGTTGTTCTCAATTGCTATTAATTTGTGTCCAGCTACTTCATTACACAACAACGTTATTTTTTTAGCTTTATGGTCTCTTGTTATTATTTCTGGTGATCTAGAATGTTCTCTTACTCGTCATCTTTGTTTACAGCTCTCTTTATATGTTTTTAGTTTCATCACATTCGAATCACTATTCTACCATGACGCCACATATATAACTTTACTGTTATAAGTTTGTGAAGTTTATGATAATCTTGATTTGAAAGTATTATAAGTTGTAAGCACCTAATGAGAATCTAACTAAGTAAAATGAATTCATATTATTATGCCCGATGTTTTGTTTTTACTCTCTTTAAGAGAATAAGTAAAACCAGGTGGATGAAAGTTAGATGTTCAAGGCCTGTTTCCTTTTCGCTCTTCTGAGCTATGTGAAAATAACTTCACAACGCTTGGTTACTGATATGATTGAAATATTTGTTATGTAATCTGAACACCTGAATAAACGTAGTTTGTAGCCTAAGTGAATCTAGATCAAAACATTCCATCAGTTTATGAATTCATTAATTGTTGAATGAATCCGTTCTATTTTGGAGGATATTTTCTGTGTATGATACTCATGATCCCTATATTCTATACTTAGATCCATTATGTAACATATATGTAGGTATTTCAAAGCTTGTATTTTATTATAAAAACTTTTGAAACTCATATCAACTTCATAGACTACTGATTCAATATTGATTCTATCGTCCAACAGTTACAAATTCATTGAATATATATATATATTAACGATAAGGAATATAAAGCTGTCTGGATTATACATATATGTTACTGATGTGTATACATTTTTCCTAATGAGTATTTCTACTGTCACTCAGCGATTAAACCACATATGAGTATATATAATTTGACATACACACAACGGTTTATTCATAGTAAAAAAAAACAAATAACTTAGATATTTTCAAATCATATGACAAATACAAGCAAACTTAATCTATTTTACTGTAGTTACCACTCAAACATTCAAGAATAGTTTTTTTAAAAAGTTTTGTACGGATTAGTTTAATTTGTAATTGGTGGGATTCAGCTGTTTAACAATTAATACTAGTTATTATTTATGAATTCATCACTCTACATAAACTTCACTGACTACGAAAAAGCATTTGATAGCATGGACAGAACAACACTATGGAAGCTTCTTCGATACTACGGCGTGCCTCAGAAGATAGTCAATATCATACGGAATTCCTATGATGAATTAAACTGCAAAATTGTACATGGAGGACAATTGGCAGACTCGTTCGAGGTAAAGATCGGTGTCAGGCAAGGTTGCTTACTCTCACTCTTTCTCTTTCTCCTGGTGATCGACTGGATCATGAAGACGTCAACATGTGAAGGGAACCGCGGGATACAGTGGACATCCAGGATACAGATGGACGATCTAGACTTCGCAGATGATCTTGCCCTCCTATCGCAATCGCAACAACAAATGCAGGAGAAAACGACCAGTGTAGCAGCAGCCTCAGAAGCAGTAGATCTCAATATACACAAATGGAAAAACAAGATTCTCTGGTACAGCACAGCATGCACCAATCCAGTCACGATTGACGGCGAAGATTTGGAAGATGTAAAAACCTTTACATATTTGGGCAGCATCATTGATGAACAAGGTGGGTCTGATGCAGATGTGGAAGCGCGAATCGGTAAAGCAAGAGCAGCATATTTACAACTGAAGAACATCTAAAACTCAAAGCAACTGTTAACCAACACCAAGGTCAGGATTTTCAATACAAATGTCAAGACAGTTCTACTGTATGGGGTGGAAACTCGGAGGACTGTGAAAACCATCATCCAGAAGATACAAGTGTTTATTAACAGTTGTCTACGCAAAATACTTCGGATCTGTTGGCCGGACACTATTAGCAACAACCAACCGTGGGAGAGAAGAAACAAGATCCCAGCGGAGGAAGAAATTAGGAAGAAGCGCTGGAAGTGGATAGGACACACATTGAGGAAAGCACCCAACTGCGTCACAAGGCAAGCCCTCAATTGGAATCCTCAAGGCCAAAGGAGAAGAGGAAGACCAAAGAACACATTACGCCGGGAAATGGAGATAGACATGAGAAAAATGAACAAGAATTGGATAGAATTAGAAAAGAAGGCTTAGGACAGAGTGGGTTGGAGAGTGCTGGTCGGTGGCCTATGCTCCATTAGGAGTAACAGGCGTAAGTAAGTAAGTAATGATTATCATGCTATTTTGCGGATAAATCGAAGTTGAACTTTCGCATTCCAACTTGGTGATCGTAATAATTAATATGCTTATAAACAGATCATGAGATTCTGAGTGCATACTGCGCAGGCATTCAACAATAAACCATAATAACTTCCGTTTGATCTGTGATTTGTAATGATAATCTATGTGATGTGAGGTTGTGGACTATATGTCCTATGATTGTAAGAATAATTATTTCAACGCTAGTTTTATCTGGAAGCGTTTTCCATGTTTATTTACTGACGTTCATGATCATTTTGAAGAAAGCAAAATGCACAATAGTAGTTGGTATAGTGAAATGATTGATTCACCATGCAGTTCATTATCAGAGATATTCATCTTCTTATTTAAGTAGTTCTTGTAATAAACGCCTCAGTAATAAGTTAGTTACTATTGTCGTTAACATAAATATAGTCATTAGTTAAATAGAATTGGTGAGTAATAACTAATTTCAGTTAGTCAACCGCTTAATTGTAAATACTTGAAATGATACATTTTCCTTGAAAAAAGAAAGGAAAGTTTCCTATCTTTGAGGACTGACTTCGAAAGTCTGATACCTTTTTTCTGGTGACAGAGTTTTTGTTGCTACGTTGGACAACATCCTTATTAGATCAATCAAAACATAGAAATGCGTGGATTAAACATGTGTTATAGTAGCTGTGTACTCTATGACAGAATTAAGTTCGTATAATAAGGCTAAAGGTTAAATGAAAACAATATCAGTCTGTACAGTCACTAGTTCATATTTAGAGAGGTCTGGTTCGGTTACTCGAAGTTACCATTTCCCAAATCTTAACGTATGTCCCAACTCATTCTATGTTCCTTATATTAAAGTTTGTAACATAGTTACTTTTATTCCCTCTATCATTTACTCGATATTTACTGATATAAAGTGTATGAACGTGGACAGACGCATATCCGTACCAGTAATTGAGTTATCTATCACCGATCAAAGTAGTAAATAGCTGATTATATTTTCGATAGATAAACATAAAACCCCTTAAACTTATCTTTCGATAATGAACTTTTGGCTGTCAGCACTATTTTCTACCGTTTCATTGAATCCCCATTTACCAATCAATTCAGTGCATTATTAGAGATGAAAATATATTATATTACTTAATCTTGAATCTGGTAATCAGATTGTGTACTACTATAAAGAATCAATGATAAGTAGTTTTCTTTATTCAGAATTCTGTCGAACCAATCTTTTTGTAAAGTTATGGGTTTCTGGAGGAGATGAAATGAACAAGGTTGATAAATGTAAACTAATAGATCAGGGTTGAAGCTAGAACTAGGATCAGTGATCGGAGATATCAGGTCTTATATATCAGATTTTGTCTAAAAGGTACAGATACTTTCAATCTTTATCTTCCTTTCAGCTTAGATCTTCGATATCATTTCATGCATTTTGTTTCTAAAATTTACACTAAACAAAATGCATTCTTTTTCACTATCAGTGATACTACAATTATCTTGACATCTTTGCTATTCATCTTGTTAATTTCATCTTTTCGTGATGATATGGTTTAGTAATTTGGACTGAATCATGTTTGTATCAGGCTTTACTTCAATTTCGACTGATTGAAGGTGTACACCACTTTCATCTTCTTTATGATACAAAATCCAGGCCAACTTTCATAAACTTGAAACAGCCTTGAGTAGACAAGTTAACTCTAACCGGTATACATAAATCCGCTATTCAGACTTATTTTAAAATCCTTAGAGAAATGTCTGTATCTAGACAAGAAGTAAGATATTTGAAAGTGCTAAAAAATTCAGTTTTACTTACTTGCTATACAATACTTAATATATAGTACTTCCCACAAACGCCTTGGTACGGCTGGGAGTAGAGTCAACTCTCCCTTTCCAAATGCTTTCAAATGGTCACGTGCATACAACCACTGACAGGGAAGTCCTACTCACTGCCTTCTCGAGAAGGGGGTGTTGTTTACGAAAAGGAGACGAAGAAAAACCAATGTTCGGAGCTTTAACCGGGATGTTGGAAACAGAAGGTTGACCTAGGGGAGTTGTAAAATATGGGCACTTGCGCTCCAGAATCCTAAGGGAACAAATTTCGTATGAACCAATCGTTGGTTCACAAATGTCAGATTTATATATGCCAATAATGATATTAATATAAATATCATATAACATGATAATATAATCTCTTAATAACATTGAATATCTCATCTCTGCAAAGAACACTAACTCGTTACTGAAGATCGTTGTAAAGTTTATTACAAAATGATGTCCTTTCAAAACAACTGACAATTCAATACTTTTCAATAGTTCGTATACACAACTTATGAATTTATCTAAATTGGCAATGAGATATTCATTCATTGTTAGCTGCTTGTTTGAACATTTGTGCTACCTGTTCTTGTCATCTAGATATTTCAACAAGTTATCTAATGTTGTTCGTTTTAATACATCATGATGACTATTAATCACATAACCTATTTAGGTGAGTTTGTGAAAAGTATACAACCTTTCGTTGTACAAGTTACAACAGAACCCAATCACAGATATCATGGTTGTTGGCAATATGCATTGAAAAGAATGTACATTATTGAGATGTCAATTGACTGGACTGCTAACTCTTAACTGACGATCACTCAATATTTATCGTCAGGATCAATGAAGAATTAAGAAACAGAAACTTGTTGAAATACATTGTGTTGAGAATTCTATATTGTACCAGAAATCTAATATTGAATAAAGCCACTAATAGTAAGTAAATCGTATGAGAACAGTACCGCAAGATGAAAACTGAAAATGTTGATCTATATGTTCAAACATTATGATTTAATCTGATTATAGTAACTATGAGAATGATCTGTAAATTATGGAGGTGTATACACCCTCTGTCTTCCCTTAAACTAAGAGATTAAAATCACTTCATATCTTTCTTTCTGCGAAATAATTCTCTCTTCCTGTACTATACTTTTATATGCAATCTTTCTTCTATATATTACCTCTATTGAAGTAACTACGTCTATGAATCTAGTGTCCATCTTGATGTTCTAATGCGATATGGCAACTCCCGACCGTAGCTGCTACCTTTACGCGGTGGTTGGGCTTGCCTATCGTGATGACCCAACCGAGCTATATTGGCTGGAACATATGTTCCTGTAGGTTCTGTCATGCCAGGTAGGTCGATTGGAGAACGGTAAGACTAAAATCAGCGACTCAAGGTCTGAGGGAGAAGTCGTACTGCTGACTGTAGAGGGGTGTGACAGCAGCAAGGTGTTTACCTCGGACAACCAACATCTGCAGCGATGCTGCCTCTTCACAAGGAAGTAAGGGGTTAGAAAAGGTCGGCCCTAAAAATGTCACACCTCACCTTACCTCACGGATTTCCGTTTCCGGCGGTAAGTCCCTTTGGAGAACGGAACTAACACATTAACAACCTCTCAAGAAAAGTCCGTGCGCGACCGGCCCCAAGCAGTTGTTCCTTGGGCTCTGTGGTCACGTTCCCAGTTCGTTAAGGCCAACATTAATCCAATTTCTTTTTCAGGTTCCTCAAGAAATACCCTTCCACGGTGTGGGCAGCCGGGAGGTAACATCAGCCCTCATACCCGTAACAGCACACGAGACTGACTGACTGGTATGGCAACTTGGACCGATGCATATATGTGCCTAATCCTATGTTGTCGCTGACTGATCGATCTGTAAATGTTGAATTTTTGTGTTCATATTTCAATAAAGTCAGTAATTAGAATTTCGAAAACACCTACTATCTAAAACTTTATGATTTTCAACTATCTTTTAGATGATATTTGAGTTTCCGGCGGGTTTTCTTTTGAAAAAAACATCTACTTTATAAAATCGAATAGATGAAATTGTAAAAAAACTTGTTGTGAAGCAATTTATTTCATTCATATAAGAAGATATAACATACAAGCCACTATCCATCTTTGTTTATAAAGCTTGTGACTTAAGGCAATATGAAGGCAATCCACATATGCCAACAAGAGATTGATGAACTACAATCCTAAATAACAATCAAAAGATATAAGTAAAACAACACCAATTGAATTTAAAACTTCACCCCATTACACAAGCAGGTGGTTATTAGGACTCAGTAACTAAGTGGGTAACGCGATGGCGTACTGGGTTCAAGTCCCAGAGTGAACACCAACTCTGAGATGCAGGTACATCCAGCTGACGAGTACCAAATAAGACGAAACGCGCGTCAAAATGGATTCCACTGCTAGCCACTATCCATCTTTGCTAATAAATCTTGTAACCAAAGGCAATATCGAGGTAATCCACACAGAATGTACATAAGCCAGCAAGAAAATAATCAATTACAATCTTAAATAACAATGAGAAGATACGAGTAAAACAACACTAATTGAATTTATACAATTTTTTCTTTTAAGAATTTATTTATCCAATGAATAATATACCCATAATACTTTACATAACTGGAAATGAAAATTATAATATCAGTAATATAAATATGAAGTTTATCCAGTCAGTCAGTCATTCAATAACAATGTAGAACTTCGTACGTACGTACGTACATCAGTCCGAGTTGCCATACCACATTAGCACAGACACTGTGGACTTAATAATAATAATAATGGTAATGGTAGTAATAATAATAGTTAGAATAGTAGTAATAATATTAATAATATAATTTATTCCCAACGAACACTTGAACTCGGATATAATATTTTCTTATAATATTTTGCTTAAATTTCCATGGTAACATTCTATTTAAGTGGATCATATTTTTCTTTTTAAGAAAAAAAAACAGAAAAAAAAGAACACACTTTACATTCAAGTACATCTAAGTGAAGGTATGTTTAAACTATACTTACTTAGAAGTAAAAAGAATTTCTTTTCTTTTCTATTCTCATATGAGTAAATTTTCTATCTACCAAATGTATATAAACTATGGTTAATAAATTTGTAGGTATCATTACTATGGTTTGACTTGATCATTTCAAATAAATTAAGTATTGAGTAGATTGTTGTAAATAAATCAATGTTTACTTACCTACTTACTCCTGTTATTCCTCATGAAAGAGTATAGGCCGCTCATCAGCATTCTTCATCCAACCCTGTCCTGGGCAATCCTTTCCAGCTCTTTCCAGTTGTTATTCATCTTTTTCATATCTGATTCTTTTTCTGTTAGGGACGTTAGATCCCCAGAACTCACTTGGGAAAAGACCTAATTTTGCAATTTTATCTAGAAAATTTGAATTTCTTTATTTTCGCGCCAAAACACTCTTGTCACCTTCATGTCGTATTTCCCACTGGGGATTATCTTAAATGCTATTGGTCCGTTGCGTCTTTTGGTATACTATTTGGTAACTCACCCCAAGGACGGTTTTGAATTGTGTTTGTTGTTATCGCTCGTTTCTGGCTGTTTGCAGAACATACTTCCCCATTCCAAGCTTGAACTTCTCCCTCTAGTTAGAGGGGCTGGGACGCATCAATAGCTAGCTTACTGGTCTTTGGTCACTGAGTCTTGTTTCTCGTTTGGAGATTAAGTGAACTCGTGATAGCTTTAACCCTAGCAATTTCCTTACGTAATGTGGTCATTATCCAATGAGTTTCGTGACTCGGTGTTAGCCACTTCTTTAGAGTAAATAAATAAACAACCCAAAATTAATCTAAGTTTAAATAGTACAAAGATTATTTATTTTTAATGATTTTTCTTTTGGTCGAACATAAGTCTACTCCGTGCATTATTCTGTAACTATGAAACATGACATTTCATTACAATAAACATAAGTAGTTTGCTAATATTTGATTACAGGTATATTTGAAGCATTTCTCACCTAAATTGAAATCACAGAATGAGTGATAATAAGTTGGGTTATGTAGTAATAATTAGAGGTGACTATTATTAGAGTTACGCAAGAAGATTCATCAAATAGTGAAAGTAGTATAGAGTTGAACATTTTTCACAGTGAAACTAGTCGCATTCTACATGATACACTGTTGAATGGAAGACAAACAGTAGTAAACAAACCCCTGTCACAATTCATTTCTCATTAGCTTTACTAACATAGATGTGGGCGGAAAAGTAAGTACATTAGAAGAATAGAAAGATCGGTATAAAATTGTGCTACTGAATATATGTCAGAGTCTTTATCCATATTTGATCTTCGGTCTTGAAGAATATCTTTCCGTTTAATTTGTGCTCCTTTTTGTTAGCCAACCCTTGTTAAGAATTTAATTCAGAATATGGTTTATTAGAACACTGTCAATGTCTAAGAAAGACTAGTTGATTTACAATTACAAACGAACTGAGCTTTCAATCACCTAGAAATTTAGATAGCTATTTAGAACTTCCTACTAAAGTCAAACATAAATAATTCTTTTACAGAAAATTATATATTTTTCGACTTCATTTATTTTAGTTAAACTAATCTAATCCGATGGATTGGTAGACAGTTAAAGTGGTCTTCAGTTGACCTGTGAAAGGGTGTTTCTCAGTTAAGCAATAACAAAATGACCACAGTCTGGACAGCAAGCAATCTACGTCGACAAGATGGACGTTATAACAGTCTATCCAGAAGTTTAGGATCTTTAATGTCAATTGTACTCGATGAGGATAAATCTCCATCCGTGTTGATTTTTTCTAATCAATCACCAAGAGAGACTAATTTACAAACAAGTGTCTCTGTTGGTGATCGAGTCGGAGATGAGAATATTTTGCCGTTAAATGGATTAAGTTTTCGTTCATTACAAACAGACTCTTCTTCATCGATTGCATTTGTTGGCAAAAAAATTAAACGTGAATATCAATCGGCGTTTGTATTGCCTGATAAACAAACAATTGGTATTATTCGTCAAGAAGCGTTTATGACTGAAGAAGGTTTAGCTCAAGTCACGCTTAGTTTATGCGTTTCGACTCATTTAGATGGTTTAAAAGTTAGTAAAAGTGAAAGAATATGTGATTACCTTGATACGGACTATTGGGCTTCCATTTTATTAGCTTCCACTGAATCTCACGATGCTGAACTATTAGGATATATGGGACCTGAATATACTTCAAGAAAACCTAATCGTTTTAACTTTGAACGTTCTGAAAGCCGACGACGTAAACGAGAAATTGTGCTTGTTCAAGAAGAGATTGAAGATAGCGATGAGAAAGATAATGTTAGGCAATTTGATGGTAGCAATATTTTGCCTGAAAGTGTTACAGTGTACGAAAAAGTATATCCTAAAGAAAAGGATGAATGTGATCCCCAGACACATCGATTAATCCTGCATCCTCCACCACCCCTTCCACCTGCACAGAGGCCAGAATCACCGCCGCCTTCACTACCGAAAACTTTAAAAGTATCTGAAAGAAATGCTTCACCAAAACCACAACTAACTTCGAGTAGAAATTCATGTCAGCCAAAAGAACAAGCCCCAATAATTGGACGGGCTGAACCACCTGGAAAAACTAAACCAATTGTAAGTAGTCCGAAATCTAAAGAAAATTTTGAAAAACTTAAACGTCAATGGAATAATCGTATTGCTCAAATGCAAGAACATCTAGATAATCAGTATCGCGATACACCAACATCGCTACCACAAACTTATACAGAAGGACATCGTGGTTCTACAGTTACATCAATTCTCCCCACAGTAGATAAAAGATCTTCTGATCCATATGTAAAAAGTCGAATTCCATCTACTGACCAAAGACTCTCCCCTGAACAAGCATATGATCATCAATCTCTTCCGGATAGAACTTCAATGGATCATGGATCAAATAAAGAGAATTTTATTTTCCACAGCTTTGATTATATCAATTCATCATCACCGGGTTCCGGTGATCTAGTGGATCCGGTTACGGAACGTTGTGAAAAAGATGCACAATTTATCTATAGTCAAGCAAGACTATTTGTTAATCAACAAAATATAGGCAGATTAAGTCCACGAAAATTATCAGGTAAACTAATTATTTTATTTATTATGTCATGTTATTAGTGTTTATTTAAGTACTGATTGATTTATTGATTATATACTTTTTAATTAAAAAAACTTACTATCGAAACGATAAGTAAGTTCAGTGATCGATGAATTAGTATCCGAGGGGGTTTGGTGGAGATTGTAGTAATTTCAATAGTTGAAGCTAGACAACCATGGAAAATCTGGGAGCACTGTCTGATAGCGTTTCGTCGTATTGTGGGACTCGTCAGCAGTGCGCATCCATGATCCCGCCTCGCGAGCGCTTAATCACTAGACCGATGAATTGTTGGTTCCATGTTTTCCTCTATAAAATGAGAGTTTCAATGAGTGTAAAACGACAACTTAGGAATCAGTTGCAGATTTGTACACCGTAAAAAAACAGTTAAGTATAATAAGTTTGATGGGATAAACTTTAAGCAAAGCAAGAAATATTTAGAAACTGATAGCTTGCATTATTGAAGATTACCATTTAAACGATAAGATATCATTATGTAATTTAAATCAAATTATTCATATGAATGAAGTGTAATGATTCAGTTAACTAAATCGAACTAGATAAAGTAGATTCTAAATAATGTGGTCTATTAACTCGAAATATGAATAGTTTCATCATTCCTTTCGAATATACAATAAATCTGTGCATCAGATATTTCTTATGTGTAATACTTCAACAGTTTGTTACAATGATTGTAATGAAAGAGTCTATTTAAGATGAAATTTATTTTTTTCAGAAGTATTTAATAATTCATTTGGTATTATTTACTTGTATCTTTCGATTGTTATTTAGGATTGCAATTGATTAGTGTCTTGTTGGCAGTATGTGCATCCTGTGTAGATTACATCGATATAGCTTTGGATTACAAGATTTATAAGTAAATATTGATAGTGGTTAGCAGTGGAATCCATGACGTGTGTTTCGTTTTATTTGGGACTCGTCAGCCGGATGTACCTGCATTCCAAAGTTGATGTTCATTCCGGGGCACGATGGCTTTAAAAGCGAACGGTGTTGGGTTTGAGTCCTAGAGTGAACATGAACTCTGAGATGCAGACACATCCAGCTGACGAGCCCCAAATAGGACGAAATGCGCGTCAAACTGAATTCCACTGCTAGCCACTATTCGTCTTTGGTTAGAAAGTATTTAATAATGTTTAACAAGTTTTCATATTAGTCCGAATATAATTATGATGTAATATCTGGGTTTTTTATGTGTTATATATATTATATAATTATAGCATTTTAACTAATATTAAAACCTTATCTGCAATACATCTGGATGACTCTAAAATCAACAACTTTTAGAGACAAGACACTCTGGTTACAACAACTATTTTCTTTCCATTGAAAACCTTCAATTAACCTAAAGTTCTAATTCCAATGGAATTACTGAGGCCTCTGATGTACCCAAGATTTTAATCCATAATCTCTGTAAATCACTTCATTTAAATTTTTTAATATAGTTGCAGAAAAGTCCTGATGTGGATATGTGATCAATGTTGACGGAGTGTTTGATAATTAACCCGTTATTTGATATGCATTCCAATTTTGATAGTAATACAAGGTGGTGGTTAGAAAACCTAGAAGCACTTGATAGGTTCTGGTTTCGAATCTGATGAGATGGAATCGTGAGGAGTCCCACAATATGACGAAACAGCCATCTAGTGCTTCCATGTTTTCCATGGTTGTCTAGCTTCAATTGATTCATGATCTCAACTATTGAAATTACTACAATCTCCACAAAACCCACTCTGATATTCATTATAGTTTTATTTAAAACAGAAAGCATTCATGGATAATCTTTATAAATATCTTTACACAATCCGAAATTCTTATATAAAGTGTAAATTTTCATCTTTTCATATAAATAATAGTTCACTCAAATACTTATACTTCATTGGTTATTCAAGGTTATGAAATCCATCAAGGATGATATTTCTTTTATTTAAACTTTTATCTAATTGAATGATTAATCGATTGTGATACTTTCAATAATGAACTACTTTCTTTATAACCTTAAAGTTATACTTCTAATTGGTTAACATTTAAGAATGACCTTGATCACCATAACATTATGATTTACATCTGAAAGTGAACTAACTAGTGTTTATATTTTGAATATTTCCATCAAGTACATATCTATTTAATTTTTATTAATTAAAATAATAAAGGTTGATTCTAATTACATTGTAACAAGTGACCATGACAATCTATTGTAGGTATAAATCGGTGTTAAATGAATCAATATTTATTGATTATATTGTACTCATTTTACTGTAAAATTGCATATCATCTTTCATGTGATCATGTAATGTGGAAAGAAAGAAGAAAAACAACAATGTACTTTATTTGTATCTATCCGTTTCTGGAAGATAACCAGTATTTAGTAAACTTTTGTAGTCTTTATATGTATATATAGGGGCGTCCAAACCAAAACGTGGCATCAGTGCTTGAAGTCACGAACTTCTAGTCTCAGTTATGTTGGTAGATACAGACTATATGGTTCGGGTCTGCATGACTATCGTAACCAATGGTTGGAGACTCTGGTTGACATGGCTCAGAATCGATCACAATGGCGTCGGTGTATACCTTCTTTGTCTTACTTTAAACTATGAGATTAAAATCGCTTCATACCTTTCTTTCTATGAACTAATTCTTTCTTCCTGTACTATATCCTTATATGCAATCTTTCTTTTGTATATTACCACCACTGGATTAACTACTTCTATGAATTTGGTGTTCATCTTGTTGTGCTAATGAGGTATGGTAACTTGGACCGATGTATATGTGTGCCTGGTCCTACGTTGTAACTGACTGATATATATATATATATATATATATATATATATATATATATATATATATAGTTTGCTTAAATCCAGGGTAACAATTTGCAAATTGGATCTCCCTGTTATTAACCCCTTAATAGGTCAATTGTAAACTGAGTATTTAAGTGAATAGATGAATACATATGAATGTATGAAGTGATGAAGAAACAGTATTCTTGAGTATATGACCAAACTATTTTTTTGTCATTGTTATCATAATACCTTTGAACAAACAGTCAATCCTCATTTTTATTTGTTTATATAACATAACTCGTCTTTAATTCATAGGATAATTATGGTGAGCTGTTAGCGGTAGAAACACTGATTTTATCCTTAATGGTGTTTGTTTCTTAACTCTGTTGGTTGTAAGTATGATACTTAAGTCACGTAAATGTTCATTTCTTCATACTTCATTATCGTATCAGCTCATTTAGTTAATCAGTCCCATGGAAAACTTAATCGATAAGATCTTGTAAGTTTTTTCAACTGGGTCTATTGTGAGATAGTAACTCACTAAAGACAATGGTGGATGTGTCGTTCAATTTCGTGGATTGGTCGAAGTTAAACATTAACACCGTTGGATGCCGGTTCAGTGGTATAATAGTTAAGCGCTCGCGCGCGAGACCGACAGGTCCTGGGTTCGAATGTCACGAGAGGCGTGATCGTGGATGCGCACCAATGAGGAGTCCCATACTAGAACGAAACGGCCGTCCAGTGCTTCCAGGTTTTCCATGGTGATCTCACATCAATCGGTTCATGATCTCAACTATTGAAATTTTTCAAATGTATTGAATGCTTTATGTATGAAATTGTTCCTAAATTTGTCATCGGTATCACAAAATTGATGAACTGAAAATAGTCATTTTATAGTTTCCTTAAACTCAATCATTCTGTGAATTCGGACTCATTTATACTTGTCTGGAAAAATTAATAGAGTATCACATTTTGTACAAAAATCTCACATAAATTCTATAATTATAGTCAATAGAACCTAATATGATAAAATTCCCACGATACATTTTAAACCTTAGACATTCAGTAATCTTTAACATAACGGTAGTCAGAGCTCTCATGAATGAATACAAATTTTGATGGAGGTTGTTATCTTTATTGCTTGGCTTATTGTTAACACCTCATTCGTTTGTACATATTGTTTGTTATCTTACCAAGACTGAATCAGTTTTGTACACATAATAGAGATATTCTCACTGAGTGTTAGTCTTTCATCAGAACTCTTATTGTGAAAGCGATTTGTATGAACAGTGTTATTTTCGGAGTTATTGTCTTATTGAGAATTCACATTGAGTAATTTAAAACACAAGTCCACGGTTTTCTGCTGATTCCTACCAATCAACTTATATCAAACAAAAAGGTTGACCATGATTTCCAGTTGGTCGTATTAGTTACTTCATTGTAATATGATCAACAGAATCTAGTCACCTCCAAAGAACAAGCAAATTTGATACCTCAGTTTCACTGAAGATCATTCTTTGCCTAAGCCGCTTACTGTTAATACTTCTAACTATGATATAGATTGATCTGTGTTACAATTACTTGGACATCATCATTTCCATGAAAATTGTAGATACGCCTTGATGACGTGTACTAATAAAAGCGAAACAAATGTGAGTCTTTTAGCTAATTTTCTTCAACTATCTAACACAAATCACATGACTACATCAGAAATCGCTAATTGATTTTATGGTTGTTACTTGAAGGATTCGGATAAAGCCAATGACGGATTCTCATGTTACATGTATCCTTGTAAGTTATGAACTAATCAGTGTTCATTCACTTGATACTCTCTTCAATTTTAACATTTGTTTCTATGTTCATTTTTGTTTGAATTAAGTTCGAGACTGATATTGAAGAAACACCGCACACAACACATACACACATTAATACAAACACCAGATATAAGTGATAGACACTATTGAGTAGAAACTAGATCAATCTATTTTTCATCAAAAAAACAAACTTCTATTGTCATTTAACAAATTAGCATATTGATTCGAAGAAATGAATGCTGAATTTATAAATATATGCGTTTGTGTGTATATAATTCTGTTATGTGATACATCATAAAGATGGAACCAAGATATAAAAAAGAGAGATACACCTCACTGATCATCATATCATTCATTTTGACATTGTATT